TTATATATATATAATAATTTTATATTAATTAATATTATTTAATACTAGAAAGGAAAAGACAATCCGTATCTCTATATTTAAAAAGATGAAATATAAAATAAAAATAAAAGTGAAAAAGTTAAAATAGTTATTACTTTTATAGAAAATATTGTCAAGCATGATTTTAAAGCTTATGTAATTTTTTTAAATTTTATTCTTTAACTAACAAATAAAAAATATCAAGGGATAAAAATGTCGAACAAAATGTGTACACAAAAATTGAGAACCTCCTTTATATATAAGTATAGATATTATTTTATATTTTATAAATTAATATTTAACATTATATACAATATATTTATTATTGTTCTGATCATAAGTCCACTTGCATTATTAGAGTCATCGTATTCTAGGTATTGTCTATTTTGATACTCATTAAGTTATCACGATTTTGTCATTGAAAAACGCCTTAGTGAATTATGAAAAAAGTGTTTAATAGACCTTAAAATAACAGTTGTTTATTACAAGTGTTGTCAAACTATATCCTACAACAATACTTATTTTGTGTTGTTAAAGGTAACATCCTTTTAATAACATGAACATTGATAGAATGAGAAAATACTATTAAATATATTAAAATAAACATCAAATTCTACCCATGCATATTGGTCAAATTTCCAAGTAAGACAAGTATTGTACTTGAAATTTGGTTTAAGTAAAGCACCAACCTTTTGAGGTATTTTAAACTTCCAAGGTTAGAAGGGATTGATTGACTCATATATACTATTTTCATGAAGTGCCAATTCTTGGAGGTTTGACAAATCACCAATACTTTTTGGTAATGGGCCAGTTAATTTGTTGCCATAAAGGTAGAGCTTTTGGAGCCTTGGCATTTGAAAGCCAATTGTTTGTGGAGTGATTCCACCAAGGTCTACTAAGCCACCAAGATCACGGATTTCAAGAGAGGTTATGAAAGGGAAAAGATGGCCAACCATCTGGGCTTGAAACAAATATTTTTCATCCATTACAAGGGAATGGTCCCAACTGGTAAGTTTGGAGTGTCCAGCTCCAAAATGATTTTGGAGGATACCATTTGGGATGCCTTTGAGCAACACCTAATATTTGACGAGCAAAGACTAATCAAAATAAAGGAAAAAATTAATTTGTATTTTGACCTGAAAAATTCTTGAGCTCTACTACTAATAAAGTTGAGGCTTAGAAGAAAGCAAAAACTAGAGCTAGAAAAATTACTCTGACTGCTTTGCTTCTAGTAACTTTACTTCACTCCTTTTGCACTCTCATATTCCAATTCCTCATGTGAAACTCGTGATGGATTTTTCAATTTCGCCTTTATTTCTCGCTTTTGCTTTGATTTTACGATCAAAACTTACATATTCAATAGTTAATATTTGATTCTTTAAGCTTGCAATTATATGCATTGAATGGCTTTCACTAACTAGTTTTTGACATTAGTTTGTTAAATCAACATTTTATGAGTTGAGAATATCTTAAATCTAAAACCAAGGGGAAAAATGATGCTAATATGGTGAGGAGTGTTATATAACTAAAACCAGTAATCGTGTTATGAAATTGAACAAGTAGTTTGGGGCCTTCTTTAAGATTTTACTATGAATGTCGTCGATGATTGGTATTCAACTTTGTAAATCTCGAGTATTTGACCTTTGAGACTTTCCTTTAACTTTAATACATCATAGCAAGATATGTGTTTGGTGTGGATTATGTATGATGACTCTCAAGTTTATAATTAAGACTATTCATTATAACATTGCTGGTAAATATCATTTTGGGTAAGAGCAATGTTATCTAGTTGAAAAAATTTATGTGCAACATCATATGAAATTCAAAAGGTAGGTTTTTTTATTAGTTATTTAATAAGAAAAAGATAATTGTGAAATTGAATAGAGATTACGTAAGCGTGTTCCATAATTATTCATATTGTTCTTACCGGAGATCGGTCACTAGGCATGACCTACTAGGCAAGATTGGTGAGCCTCCTTCACTGGGTACACTTGCTGTTCCAAGGCGGGGGTGATACCTGCAAAAGAGACTTCGATGCTAAAGTTAGTGTTTGTGGGTGTATGGATCTCGTATAAGTAATGCACGTACCTTTGTGTGAATTAGGGTTTCATTAGGCCTTGGGCCTGATGATAGACTATGGCCAAGGCCAAGGAATCCAAGAGGTGATATCTTAAAAGAACCAAGAGGAATGGGATGATATTAAAGACCTTTCATATGTTTGTACATATAGTAGTCTCTTTGTATAGGCTTATTTTTGCTTTTGTATTTGTGAGGCACTTTACTTGCTTTTAACTAGTGATTGTATATTGATTTTAGGGTGGGTTACTTGGAGAGTTTAACTCCATTTAACCTCCTTTGTTGATACATTCATTTTATATTTTTTCAGTAGGGAAAAAGGGGTGGCATTTAGCAATGCTTGAGGGTGTGACTAGTAATTGGGCCAGAACTGGGCTTAGGCAAAATTTTGCATATTAGACTCATTTTGCTCCTAATTTTTCATAGATTTGATTTAGCTAGGTCTCATCATCATATGATGAACCTAACTAAACCAAATCAAATATTTTTGAAATAAATCATGGAGCATTTTTGAGCCTTGGCCGCCTAGCTCATTCCTTTTGTTCTTGGCCGAAATTTCTAGCTTCTCCTACAAGCTTTGAAGCTTGCCTTCCAAGCTTCTAAACCTTAGTAGGTTTGGCTGACCTTACCATGGTTCTTAAGTGAACCATGGTCAAGGTTAGCTTCTCCTACAAGTTTTAGAAACCATGGATGGTTAGCTACACCTTACCATGGTTCCTAGTGAACCATGGTTAAGGTTAGCTTCCTCTACAAGCTACCTCTCCCTATATATTTCTAAATTGCTCATTGTACTTCACTTTTTGAGATATGAAATCAGAATTTGACTCAAATTCTCTCCTCTTAAAGTCCTAAATTTCGTGGAGAAACTTTCTCTCTAAGTTTCTCTCAAAGGTTTCCAACCTTTTAGCTTGTTCAACAAGCTTCATCACTCTTTCATGGAGTAACCGAACCTCCTTGGTGATTCTTCTCCATTGAAGCTTCTTCAAAGGAGTTCCTCATCCAAATTCGTGGTCAACCTCAAGAGTTTAAAGGTCTTGGAATGGAGCACTTGAAGATTCATCAATCTTCTCCAAGTAGTTCCATCAGTTTTGGTATCTAGAGCCTAGTGCTCTTGAGGTTATGTGTTTCTAATTTTTTCTTCAATGAATCCGTGTTGTTCCTTCCTTTTCTTTGTCTAAATTTGTGTTGCTGTATAGATCTAGTTTTATTTCACATTTTGATGGATCCTATATGTCTCATGAGAAGTAATTGATTCATATTTTGCTTGTTTCCAATTCTTGTGAATCAATTCGGTTTGTGCTTTTAGGACTCTTGTTCTTATGCGTTTTTTGATGTTTGTTTGAGTCTCTCCATTCCTTAACATGTGTCTGTGATTGGACAACATTCATATTGCATTAGTTTTATTTTTGAATCACTTGTTTTGTCTTAGAAGTCATGTGTAGTCCTTTGT